GGGCATGAGTGGCCAAAAAAACTTCCCAAGGGATGGATGGGTGGGGTCTCTGGTGAGCAATCCCCCTCCCCAGCTTGGCTCATTCCCTGTCCCATCCCCATACCAGGGTGGGCTCACCTGCTGCCAGCCCCCCTGTAGGCCTGAGGTCCCTCCTGCTCTTGGGTTTCCTGGTGCAGCTGAGTCAGGATGAAACGGTTCCAGCTCTGAATCAGCCTCCCCAGGTTCACTTTCCCCGTGGCTTCATCTGAATCTGCCAGGATCAAGCCCAGAGCCGACGCCTCCGGGATGGTGCGGAAAGCCCGCAGAAAATTGCTTCCCTGGGCATGGGGCAAGAACAATGTCCCCAAGGTCAAGTGACAGGAATTTCCATCTGCCTGCCCAGCACCACACCCTTGGGCAGCCCAGCCCAGCCCAGACCTGGCAGGGATCTCCTCTGGACAAATCCAGCATGTGGAACAGCAAGCCCAGCTCGCAGCCCAGGCAGAATTCCTTCTGGCACAGGTGGTTCTGGACCAAGCAGCGAACTGGCTCCAGGAAATACAGCACCTGGTGGAGACCCAGCAGTTAGGGGGGCTCTGGGGGGTCACAAACAGGGGTTTGGGTGGGACTGGAGCCAGAGCGTTGTCCCTGACCTCTCATAACCCCATTAACTCCATAACCCCATTAACCCCCGGTTATGGGTTAGGTTTTCCAGGTTATGGTGAACACTCCTGAATGCTCCAAACCAGGGAAAGGAACTCAAGCTTCCCTCTGGAGAAATAAAAAACCCCAACACAACCCCACAGCAGTGATAGGGGAAGCAATGAGAGGTTTGTGCTCCAAGGACAGATAAAAGAGGGCAAAGAAAGGTTTTAGAAATGGAATTATAGAGAATTTTTGCTCCCACCTGGATCATGCAGTTGCAGTAAGCATTGGGAATGTGGGGCTCCAGCCCTGCGAACAGCGTCTTGTTGTAATGCTTGAAATCAAAATCCTCCAGCCCCAGCTTGGAGTATTTGATGGTGACCTGAGCAGAGATGTGACAGGTGAAACAAACACCTCCCCATGGATTCTGCTCCCCATTGTGCCCCAAATCAGCCCCCCAAGGCCACCACCCACCTTCCTGTACTTCTTGGCCACCCTGTAGAGATGTGGCTCCTCCTCACGCCCGATGGGTGACTCGGGGACTTGGCTGAAGTTGTCAAACTCGTTGTCCATCTCCTTTAACCTGTAAGGAATCTTGGAGCAGGCAGAGAGGATGAGCAGCTGAAGCCTGAGGTGGGGAGAAACCCCACAAGCAGCTCCTGGGCTTTCCTGCTTGCCCTGAATGAGCAAAGGGATCCACCAGAGCAGAGCGGGGCCCTCCCTGGACCTGCACCTTCCTGCTGGCAGGGATTTGTCACTGTGGGAAAGCACAGGGCAGTGTTTTCCCAAGGCTGAGGGACGTGCCATGAACCCTCCCAAGAGCTCAGACCTTCCCTGCCCTCAGAGCCACGCAGGGATGGAGCTGGGAGCTCCAACNCGGATGTTCCTGGTCTGCACCTGCGGGGGAGAGGGACAGGTGGGAATGAGAGCCCAGAGAGGGATTTGGGACATCTGGGTGGGATTTGGGACATCTGAGTGGGATTTGGGACATCCAAGCAGGATTTGGGACATCCAAGCAGGATTTGGGACATCTGCCACTGCCTTGGCCTCCTCCCCTGCCTGGCTGCAGTCCTGGGGGCACTTCCATGATAACAGAGCTGCTCCAGCGGGGTTGTTCCTCCCTGTTGAATTCTTGCCCCTGAGAGAGGAATTCACAGAGAACAGGAAATACCCCAAGGCAGCCAGCCAGGCCAGGAATGGGATTTGGGACATCTGAGTGGGATTTGGGACATCTGAGTGGGATTTGGGACATCCAAGCAGAATTTGGGACACCTGCCACTGCCTTGGCCTCCTCCCCTGCCTGGCTGCAGTCCTGGGGGCACTTCCATGGTAACAGAGGGGTTATTTCTCCTTGCTGAATCCTTGTGCCTACAAAAAGAATTCACAGAGAACAGGAAATACCCCAAGGCTGCCAGCCGGGCCAGGAATGGGATTTGGGACATCTGAGTGGGATTTGGGACATCCAAGCAGAATTTGGGATATTCAAGGAGGATTTGGGACATCCAAGCAGAATTTGGGAATTGAATTTCTGGAACTGAATTTCTGGAATCCTCTCAGAAGGTTCCCTGGTGACTCAGGCAGAAACTGCCCCACTCATGCCCATGGTCCCACAGCCCCTCATGGCTGTGCCCCCATGCCAGGCTCACCGTGGGCTGGTATTTCTCACAGTTCTCACACCAGGCTTGTGTGTTCTGCTCCAAGCAGATGCTACGCTTCAAAATTTGGGCAAACTCGTAATCCTTGGCTGGTTTTTCTGCAGGGAGAAAGGAGAATAACGTCACCTCCTCCAGCACACAAACCTTGACCAACTGAGCTCAGCCAAACCTCTGGGGTTTTCCTCGTAACCACCAACCAGAAGGTCAAGCCCCAAAAGTGTTTTTTTTTTTTTTTTTTTTAAAGCCAAAAGCTTGGCTGGTTGGAAAACCACCCCCTGGAGCTGAGGGAGCTCCTGGTTGTGGGTGTGTTCCAGCTGGGAAAAATCGTGGAGGACAAAGCTGAGGGGGCTGGGCCCTGCTCTCACCGGTGCTGTCGGGGTAGGAGAGGGTGAAGAGCAGCGTGGAGGACACACGGACGGTCTCCTTCCCACAGCGGCACATGCTGCAGTTCTCCATCTCACAGCTGAACAGCTGCCCGATCACAGAGTCCCCCGAGGAGCCAAAACTGCTGGAAAAAACAGCAGAG